TGTGTGTGGTGCCGGGGATTGAACCCAGGGCCTTATGCATGCTAGGCAAGCACTCTACCAACTGAGCTATATCCCCAGCCCCCACATTCTTTCTTAAGTACTATGAAAAGAACCCATGTGCCTACACAGGTGTATTATATGTATATACGGTACTTTAGGAATTTTTATTTAATATCTTATAAATTGAGAGGGGAAAATGTGTTTTGCTGCTAGCTTTTAAAAGTGACACAGTTCAGCACTATGTTATATTTGTCTTACATTCTAACTTGGAAGTATATGAAATGTAAAATATTAGAACTTTTAAATGTATATTACCAAAATATAGGCAATATATTTTAAAAGTTTGGAACCCATTTGATGAGCAAAATTAGTACTATTAATTTTGTTTTAAGGTTTAATACTTTGATATTCTCCTGTTCTTGTGATATGATTACTGAGTTTGTATAGGCTCACTAGTTAGATTGCTTAAATCACTTTACAACATGAACTGCAGCAGAGTAATGAGCCTAAAATAGATAATAAGTGTAACAAAAATAAATTCCCTACATGTGTCTCAATAACTAGAAAATAACATTGCACTTTGTTTGCCATGAATAAAACTATAAAAATGTGTTTATGTGTTTTTCCCCTTCTACAGCGAGAAAGTCAACAAAGGAATTGGCATTGAAAATATCCATTATTTAAATGATGGGCTGTGGCATATGAAGACATATAAGTGATCCTCAGAAGGAATGCACTTGGGCTAAATATGGATATTGTGCTGTATCTGTGTTTGTGTCTGTGTGTGACAGCATGAAGACAATGCCTCTGTGGTTATGCTGAATAAATTCTACAGATGCTAAAATTCTGTTAGCTTCAGAAATTATTTTAATTTTTCTTAAACTCAGAATTGGGTAGCACACTTGGACATTAAAGGGTATTTGGTAACTAATTAAACAGACAACTTAATGTCCTATAAGGTTAATGATAGAAGATGAATTGGTAACTGAACTTGCCAGTTTATGGTGACCCCCAAATAATTTGTCAAGTTAATGGGGCTTAAAGCCAGACTGGGAATTTTATATTGTTATCCCAGGTCACCCAGCAGTACTTTTGTGTCTGTGTGTGTATTCCTGTGTGTGTGTTTGTTGTTGTTTAAATTTTCATTATGGAAAGTTCCTAACATATTCAAAAGCATGGGAAATAGTATAATGGGCCCTTTTTATCCATCACCCAGCTTTAATTTTTGGCCATCAATAACTACATTAATATGTATCTTTAAAAGATAAAAATAACCATAATAGCATGCTCCCACCTAAAAAATTTAACTATTTCCTAATATGATCATCTAAACTGTTCAAATTCCCTCAGTTGTCTCTCTAAATTTTATTAGTTGTTGGTTTGCTTGAAGTAGGTAACAGATAAGATCTGTATGTTGCATAGGGTTCTTGTAAATTCCTCTCCTTTTATCCTTTAAATTACATCTCAGCTTTTTGTTTGTTTGGTTGGTTTATAGTGCTAAGGATCAAACCCAAAGGCCTTGCACATGCTAGGCAAGTGCTCTATTGCTGAGCTCTGTTCCCAGCCCTATCCATTGAAGTAATTATTTAAGAAGTATAGTTCATTTGTAAAGTTTTCCCATATATTCTGGATTTTGTAGCACTATGGAGTCATATAACATAAGTTTTATGTCCCCTATATATCCTGTGTACACATTGAAGGCTGAATCAGATTAAGGTTCAATTATTTTAGTGCCTTAAGTAAAATCATACCAAAGGACACTCACAACTTCCACATTCGGGTTCCCACCTTATTCCCCAAAGACTATGTATCTCCTTTCCTAAGGGCCATGGATCTACTTTAATAAGAATAGTAATTTGTTTTGAGAGCTTAAAAAGCAGCTGTGAATTTATTTAGTGATAAAGGCCTTTCCTCCTCATAACCTTGCTATTATTTTAGTGTCTCAGCCATCTTCATTTGGTTGTTTACCAATATATGACATGTGATTTTATTTTTCAGATGGATACAGACATTTACAAGATTTTGGTGAATCGTGTTACAGTTAGAAGTTGGTGAGAAAGGTGAGGGTGGATAGTAAAAAGAGAGATTATTCTGCTGGCTGTTCTAGCTCAGCCTCTCTGGGTCTCACATAGGTGAATATAGATCCAGAGTCTGACCCTCAGATTAAGAAATCATTTCTCACTGATGAAACTTGTAAGACTTGGAGATTTCCCAGGTAGAATGTGAATGTATTGATTTATAGCAATAGGTCTACCTAGGGTAAACAGTAGTAAATAGAATATTTCTTGGTAAACATGGAAAAAGTAAACAAAGGTTGATAACTTGGGATAATATTTCATCTGGGCTGGGATAAGTTTTGGAGAATTTTTCCTGCTTCATTATTACTTAGAATGCTTATCTGCTAAAGTCTTATCTTTTCTAAGATATTTCTATAAAAATGCCCTGATATTTTACTTCCTGTATCCTTTTCAAGTTCTATGTATAATATTTTCCTTTTGGTATACCAGTTATATTCTTGAACTTAGCATATTGTTTTGGTTTATTATTCCTGGTATATAAAAGTATAAATAGTCTCATCAGTAATATAGTTAGAAATCATCTCTCAGGAGAGGTGTCTTCATCAGATATATGCCAGCTTACTGGTTTCAGAATCTATTGTCTCCCCATTTGGGGAAGGAAACACTATTTGAGGTCTGTAGCTTATATTCCTAAAAAGAATATATGTATCATTTGTATCAAAGCCAAGCTTTGAACTTGTATCTTTTTGCAGTGCTGAGGATCGAATCCAGGGCCTCATATATGCCAGGCAGGCACTCTACCACTGAGTACAACTCCAGCCCTGAACTTTTATTTTTGATGCTTAGATAACATTAATTGGCCAAGATTACCTGTGAAGAGTTAGCAATGAAAAACAAAGTACACACAAACACATATTGGAGAAGTTACAACTTTTAATTGCCTGGTTTTTGAAATGATTTATCCTTGTATCTAACCATTAGTACAGTGGGTATAGAGAACACTTTTTAAATATTCAACATCAACATCTGTGCTTGTTTTTCTACTATGCTGAGGTACACTGAATATGTTGCCTTGGTGATGTGAACTAAATATGTATGTTCCCTACCTCCCCTGGGTCTGAGTCCTCAGCTCATCCATTTGTTTTAATCAGGGTTATCACTCTAAATCTACAGGCTTTTTCAGCTTCTCAACATTAGGTCATGCATGGAAGCCGATTCAAAGAGGTTAAACTAGCAGGTATATCAGCCTCTTTAGATACTGTGGTTGAAGGAAACTTGTTTACCCATATCCCCAAGAGTAGGAATACAGGGAGAGCCTGTTTTCTCTCAAGCAATGTGTTTCCAGTTCATTTTAAGTTTCAAAATTAATTTTGTGTCAAACCACTTTACCAGCTAGCCATGCCTATGTATTTTAATCACTTTTACTTAGCCAGTGTCAATTCAGCTCAGTGGGTATTTATTATCGACTAGATTTTAGGTGATGTGGCACAAAGATGAATAATACACTAGTAGCTGCCCTTAAGAAGCTTCCAATCTAGTTAGTAAAGAAAATTTAAGCTGTGCACGGTGGCTGGGAGGTTGAGCAAGTTCAAAGCCAGCCTCAGCAATTTAGCAAGGCCCTGAGTAACGTAGGGAGACCCTGTCTAAAAATAAAAAGGGCTGGGGATGTGGCTCAGTGGTTAAGTGCTGCTGGGTTCAATCCCTGTTACCCCCCCACCCAAAAAAAAGAAAGAAAGAAAATTCGTATTTAAAAAAAATCTGGGTAATGGTGGCAGCCTAACACCAGTATGAAGTCAGTAGGAATTTATAAATGCTTTTACAATTTCAGTCATCAAAACTTGCAAATTACACATGAACCAAACACAAAAATAGTCCTTAGGTTGTACTCAATATGAGGCTAAAAAGTCCGAATATTTTGTAGTTGCAACAATTCATTGTTCCAGTTCTGATGGTTGTCCCATTGTCCAGCCTCTGCCTGACCAGTCCTCTCTGGCAGACTGTTCACAGTGGTTTGGTGGCATTCTGTTGGCAGCTGCATTTTTTTCTTTCATTTTCTCTCTTGTCTTTTTGTGTTTTCTGGACCCCAAACAAAAGCAGCTGGGTTTATCCCAGGGGTAATTGTGAACATTTCCAATTTGAGGGATTTGATATTCCCCAAACAGAAGTTCATATGGTGTTTATCAAACAATGATTACATCCAGCCAAGTTCCCTCTCTATACAAATCAGCAACTGAGGATACATTATTTCTAAGTATAGTACTTCAGAAGAAGACATAACAATGGCAATTCACTAAATTTGCTGAGGTATTTCATTATAATTCACTTTTTGTTGTTCATGAAATATTTATGTAGCAAGTATATATTAATAGAAATGACTGTATGCCCAAACAAAATGTGGTAAATATTTTAACTTTGTTTATCTAGGTTCCTTAATTTTGAGAATATATCTCAAGCTCTTCAAGAAACTCAAAATGATTCCAATATCTAAAGGAGTATCCACTAAAACAGATTTGTAATGAAAGAAAAGCAGTGAAAATGTATGCATCCTATGTCAATATAACCATCACATCTGAGGTCTCAAGCAATTAGAAACTTACTCAAGTTATTCAATAACTATAAGAATTAGGCAGTTAGAATATTTTGGAAGCCCTATAGAACACTTACGTTTAGTATGTTACTAGTCGTATCAAGGCAGTAAAGATTACACTAAATATAATTGTACTCTTAATATCAGTCTTAAAGCAGCAGTTCCTAAAGAAACCATACCTGTCAACATGGAGGCTGATGCATGTAAATGTATTCTATTTTTTGTATGTATTTTATACTTTGTATGTATACTTTTAATGGCAGGTAAAATAATGAGTTGAAGGACCAACAATAACATCAATTTGTTCAATATTGATTAAAACCAATTAAGTATGAGTAAAGGACCACAAGGCCATCAGATCAGGGGTGAATGAACAGATTTGAAGCCAGTTTTTAAATCAATGTTGAGATTATAATGCAGGTTTCTTTGTTTAAGAGGCTAGCCTTTTAGAGAATATAATTTATTCATGGAAAAAAATAAGAAGGATGAATGGAATTTTTTCTAATAATATCATGTTTACTAAGAATAGGTCACGAGGAGGAAAAGTTAAAGAAAAACTCATTAGTACAATTAATATTTGCCTCTTGAAGTGAAAATTAAAGAATTCCAAATTTTATCCTTGAAGACTTTGAGAAATGAGAGATGCATTAGTAAAGTAGTTTATACTTAAAATCCTAGTTGTAACAAAGAATGGCATGCCTCATTATTAATGTTCATTTCTAATTAGATGGATTGTTTTGGCAATTTGTGAAATATTCCAAACAGAACTGATGTTTCAAATGACTAAAATTTAGACTTGGATTAGAGGAACGAAGTAAAAGATGGGTAACCATTAAAAGTAGTTAATTAAAAATTGGGCTGTGGGCATCAGTCTTATGTGGAAGATTGTAATTCAACAGGCTATGATTTCCAAAATATAGCAAACTTCTTCATGTCCTCATATACCAAATTGGTTCATCTCTTAGGCAAAAACAGAAAATTTAAAAAATCAAATTTACCAAACCACTCAAACCTTTTTAAAATCACATTCTAAAAATAGGAGAAACCCCATAATTTATATATCATAATTTTTATTACTTTTGTTTATTCCCCAATTTTTCAAATACTTTAATTTCAGCCAGTATGTGAACATGGAAGACTTAAAGAGCATAATGAATTACTTGACTTCCTTCAAGTTTATTGTAAATGTTCTCAAAACTCTGCCAAGAATATAAAGATTTGAAAGATAACCAAGATTTATTTTTTCTTATTTTAATTTTTAATCACAAGACTTGATTGTCAATGATACTTATTAACTATCATGTAATCTCCGATGGTAAAACAAGTGATTTCTTCTGAGTTTTTACAAGCATGTAAGCAAAAGACTTGGTTTTCATCAATAAATCATTGGTTGTAACTAAGCACTTGTTTGGAGAAAGTGTCATTTCTCCAAACATGTGTCTTGAAAACAAATCCAGTTCTTTTTTTGCCTCAGGGGAAGCCATGTTGGGGAGTCTTCAGAGATCTGGCAACCCAGTTTTATTCTTACCAACCTCTGTTTTGAAAGGGAATGCCTTCTGTCTTTGTCCCCAAAATCTTTGGTTGTCCTACACTGATGCCTGATGGAGCCCTGAGGCATATAAACAAGTAAGATGCTTTTCATGATGAAACTGCATGTTGTTCTGACACTGTCTATTAATAGTCCTGAATGAGCTTAAATTTGAGGCACCTTTTTTTTTTAATTATTTTTTACTGTGCTTGGGTGGCACCCAGGGCATAATGCATGCTCTGCATGCACTAGACTACTGAACAATACCCCTCAGCCTTGAGGCAACTTTGGAAAATATCAGGTACTTTTCATTTTGCTTCCCTTGAAATGTTTATTTCTGCATATTGATATTTTAACTAAGTTTTAATTTCTCATTATCTGAAAGATTTTGCATGTACTTTAGTCTGAATATAGTATTTATCAATGCGAATGCTGCTCCATTCAAAATTCATTTTTGAAGCCAGAATTCACTCTTATTTGTCTGACTGGTCAGGGTGGGGGAGAGTCTTTTTTGTACTTTAGGCTCCGGACTACTTTCTTAGAGAGTTGACTTATACAAGGTTAAGGAGATGTATGCTTTTGTATGACTTAAGTTCTTTATAAAGTTTGCTGCTATAAGCATTTTGGATTTAAGAAAGTTCAACTTGAAATATATTTGAATATAGGATAGAAATAGCTTTACTTAATGGGATAATAGCTATTTTGAACCCATTAAGATCTCCTCAATAGCTTTCAAAAAGCACATGACTAAAAAATTTTTCACTGGCATTGCTTTATTGTTTTAAAAATAGTAGGGACTGAAATGTTATTTAAAACTTGGATGCTTATACTGCACTATTTCATGTTGTGTTTCAGAAGGTTAAAATTCTATATTTTGTAAAATGTCTGGAAAGGAGTCCAAAAAGTAATCTTGCTTTCTTGTTCCTGAATGCAAAGGTCTGAGAGGAGACACATGATCTTCTTATTAGCCTCAGGGTGTTGTCAAACACAGTTCTCCCTCATGTACCAAATGCCCAGTTGCATTTATTGGGATGCAGGAGTCTCACTCAAGCAGTTTTTTTTCCCAAACATGAAGAGAAACTTCTTGGTTAAAGTGTGGGGAGATAGAAACCATATTGATTTGGGCATTTTGGCTCCAGTAATATCTACTGTGAAAGGTGGATGCTCTAAGCTAATTTCCTTTAAAAAGCAGTTCATAAATTTCTCCAAATATTTATAAAAAAGCTGTTTTATCACACAGCACAGATTAAATGTACAGATGTTATCTTAAAACTATTAAGGTGTTTCCCTATGAATTTGAATATTCACTACCAGCTGTTACTCACATCAGTATTAATATTTTACCATCAAGAGATTTCATACAAAGGTCTGATATTTAATTCTTTAAAGGGAAATAACATTCCCTGAGTGCCTACTATGTGTTCAAGTTCTATTTACATATTTTGCTTAATCTTTATGATGCTTCCATGAGGTAGACTATAATTTTCATTTTACAAATGAGGAAACTAAGCCAGGCATGGTGATGCATGCCTGTTACCCCAGAGACTTAGGAGGCTGAGGCAGGTGTATCACAAGTTGAAACGAGCCTCAAAATAAGATGGTACTGGGGATATAGCTCAGTGGTAAACTGTCCCTGGATCCAATTCCCAGTTACAATAAGCACACAGCAAACAAAAAGAAGAAGAAACAACTAAGGCTCAGAGAAGTTAGCTAATAAATAACAGGTTTGGAATCTGAACTTAGGTCCACCTGAGTGCAAAGCCTGTCTTGCAGAAATCTCTTCTTTTGTATATTATAAAGTGTTAATCTCGACCAACAGTTAAATCTCCATCTTTATGGATTACTGGAGAGATGTGTGTGAATTGGCAAGCCTCTGTTCCAAATTGGGGAAAATATGGATAGGATTTGAACGAGATGCGTGGGATGCACGCAGGTCGTGGAATGCACAGTCTTGTGCTGCTGAGGCAATGTTTTTCTGTTCCCTCTTCAACAATAGGGCATACTAGAAGAATCTTTAGAAGTTGAACAGTCCTCAGGTCTTAACTTTTCCTATTATTCACCTTTGAGCCAGGTGATTTGTGACTTTTTAAAGGTTAAAAGCCTTTGCTTGATCTATAAAACACAAAGAGGAGGGCTAGTTAAGAAGTGGGGTAACGAGTCTATACAATATACAGTGTAATACGCAAGGACAGGACTTGGCGTTGCTTTGAAGATAGTTGTGGGGAGGTAAGTGAATAGTAAAATTAATGAGAGGAGCAGTTTTGGTTCAGTTATAATTCAAGGTAAAAAAGTTGAGAGGTCTATATTTTGTTCCAAAGTACAATGATTTAATTTTGAGAAGGAAGAGCCAGTGATTGCACTCTTTCAAGGAGATGGCCTGGGGCCTGCTTAATCAGGTTGCAGTTTCCATTACATTCAAGAAAATCAGAAAAATAAATACAACTTGTAGAAGAAAAATTTGTTTTTTCCCATTCACATTTAACCCTTGGAGGGGGGAGGCAGTTCTCACATTTTTGGAATTGTTTAGAACTGGTGTGCAACATGGTAGCCACCAGCTATATACGGCTACTGAGCACTTGGAATGTGACTAGTCTGAATTGAGATGTTGTGTAACTGTTAAATTCAAACTGGATTTTAAAGAATTAAAAAAAAAGAATGTAAACTATTTGTTGATTACATGTTGAAATGGCAATATTTTTAAATATATTGGGCTTAATAAAATATATTTGCTAAGATCATTTTACCTGTCTTTACTTTTAAAACAAATTTTAAAGTTATAGAGGGACATAGTATCTTTATTTTGTTTATTTATTTTTAAGTGGTGCTGAGGATCGAACCCAGTGTCTCACATGTGCAAGGTAAGCCCTTTGCCACTGAGCCACAACCCCAGCCCCTCTTTTTACTTTTTTAATGTGGTTACTAGGAAACTTAAAATTACATGTGTGGTTCACATGTTCAACATATCAAAGTCTTACATGAAGCCAGAAAGTTTTCCCCTCTCCCCTTCAGCTGGTACACTACTGGTGTTCTACTAGAATATTTCCATTAATTCAGTACTTTTGAGTACCTAGGTGAATGTCTCTGTCAGTCACTTGCTAGATCAAAGCATTTTAAATATTTTTAAGCCCTCCTACCACTAGCACTTTTGCCCAACTGCCAAAGCAATGGCATAACCAATGTGATTATTATTGCATGGAATTAATGGAAACTACCAAAGAAATGGAAATCATGCAAGTTAAAAATGGCATTTATCAGATCTAGGAATTTTAAGGCAAAAGGACCACCGTATTCTAATAAACTATGATCATGCAAAGCTTATACCAAGTGATTACCAGGCCTTGTATTGAACTCATAGATATACAAGGAAATTAGTGTATATGCTCCATACTAATAAAGGTGTATGTTTTTTGTTTGGTTGGTTTTGTTTTTTTCTGATATGGGGGTTGAACCCAGGAGCACTTCATTACTAAGCTGCATCTCCAGTACTTCTGTCTTGCTAAATTGCAAATGGCTGTCCTCAAATTTGTGAGCTTTCTGCTTCAGCCTCCTGGGTTGCTGGGATTGCAGGTGTGCACCACCACACCCAGCTGGATTTTCCTTTTAAAAAATTATGATGGGGGTGTGGGGGTGTAACCAAATGGCACTATGCTTGCCTATTATGCACAAGGCCCTGGGTTCAATCTGTAGCACCACACACACAAATTATATGAGCCCTAGATAAACACCATTTTTTTACTTTCCAAACAAGTCATTTTCCCATCATCCTTTAAATGTTTTATAGCATTTTGTCTTTTTGGGGGGGGATTGAATTCAGGGGCACTCGACCAGTGAGCTACATCCCCAGCCCTATTTTGTATTTTATTTAGAGACAGGGTCTCACTGAGTTGCTTAGCACCTCACTTTTGCTGAGGATGGCTTTGAACCTGTGATCCTCCTGCCTCAGCCTCCCAAGCAACTGGGATTATAGGCCCAGAAGCATTTTATCTTTTTTTTTCACGTCGTTACTCCACTTGTTCATTCTTGTACACTTTTAAAAAAATCAATTGTTTTGCTGGATCTGATGTAATCCCAGATACTTGGGAGGCTGAGGCTGGAGGATCAGAAGTTCGAGGCCATCCAGGGCAATTCAGTGAGACCCTTCAGTGTCCAGGGCCTGCCTTGACTCAGACAGGGACAGCTAGGACAGCCAGAGTGACCAGATCCCAGACTGAGTCGGGAGAAGGTTCAGCTTGCAGAGTGTCCAGGCTGAGAGGAAAGTGAGAGGAAGGGAGGGAGAGAGAGAGGGGAAGGAAGAGAGCGCATTTTATCTTTTTTAAAGAGAGAGAGAATTTTTTAATATTTATTTATTTATTTTTTTAGTTTTTGGCAGACACAACATCTTTGTATGTGGTGCTAAGGATCAAACCCGGGCCGCACGCATGCCAGGCGAGCACACTACCACTTGAGCCACATCCCCAGCCCCAGTATTTTATCTTGATGATGTTGGAATTGGTGTGATTATTTTTAAATTTGGGGGAATTCATTCTTTACAGAGAGAGTTAGTAAATATTTCTGAATTTTTAAAAAATTTTATTTTAGTTGTAGATGGACACAATACCTTTGTTTTATTTATGTCGTGCTGAGGATTGAGCCCAGGGCCCCACACATGCAAGACGAGCATTCTGCCTCTGAGCCTCAGCCCCAGCCCCCTGAATTCTTTGTATGCCAAAAGAAAGTCAATTTCTGTAAACATATGCTCTTCACATAATCACTCAGGCATGAACTGAATGCATCTAAGTCTGCTTGTACCAAAAGGAACAGAATGTTACCAACAAATGAAGGGCAAATTAGTGATACATGATCACTAGACTGCTTTCAGCATCCTTTCCAACATAGGTGTGTTCTGCTTTGAGAAAATCCAATAGACATGTTTCTTTAAATGCATTATAGAAAAATTTGGGCATCATAAATCAGATTTGATACATGGCAACCCTTTTGCTACATCAAATTAAAAACACTGAGGAGTCTAATCTATCTTTCCCCAGATCCAGTGTTTTAATTTTAAGAAGGAAGATCCAATAATTGAACTCATTCAAGGAGATGGCCTGGGGCCTACTTAAACTCAGTCTGCAGTTTCCACTGCATTCAAGACAGGTGAAAAATAATTTTTGGAAGAAACTTCAAGTTTTCTCACCTTCACATCTCACCTACAGGATAGGCAATGTGTTTTTCATTTCTAAAATTAGTTTAGACCTGTGCTGTTTAATGTTTGCCACTAGGCATATGTGAAGTATATTTACATACACAAGTTCTATTAAACATCTATTCTTTCCAATTCTCGCCCATTAACAGAGTGGATTAGGGTCGGTTTTTGGCTATTGGATGTATTATTTTTCTGTGTAAACTAACATATATGGAGATCAAATCTGTAACCATGACCTCAGTAGTAGTATTTTCTATGTCAGTGATTCAGATTTTATCTACAAGACTGTATATACATGAGTTGAATGAGACATTTTTTTTTATACTAGGGATTGAACTCAGGGGCATTTGACCACTGAACTACATCCCTAGCCCCCTTCTTCTTTTGTATTTTATTTAGAGGCGAGGTCTCACTAAGTTGCTTAATGCCTTGCTTTTTGCTTAGGCTGGCTTTGAACTCACCATCCTCCTGCCTCAGCCTCTTGAAGCCACTGGGATTACAGGTGTGTGCCACCATGCCCAGCTGAGACAGCACATTATTTGTGGTAATATCAAAGAATTATGTGTACAAAAATACTCATGTTCAAAATTATGATCATCGATTTGGTTTGAAGAATATATTACCTTAGCACTTATTAGCAAATCAAATAATAAATGCATCCTGATATTTATTATAATAAATTGATATACTTATGTAACTAAGATGAAAAATTTTAACATAGTATTGTTCTAGGGAAGGCAACACAAAAAATTAGGAAATTTTAATGTATTTGTATTGGGAGCAGGGTGTCACATTCAGAGAGATATTGTTTATCATTGTACCCATGCTGAGCATGATTTTGATCAGTAGTAATTAAACTGAACCACATATTATTAAGGTGCTTGATAAAAAAGTTTTATTATTCAAAATTATTGTTTCATCTTTTTAATTTTTTTTTTTTTAGTGTTTCATCTTAACCAAACGTCCCAGTGAGGAAGATCAGAGTAATTAAAACAAAGGGTTTGACACACTACTATGAGGATCAATAATTTGAAGCCCACAGTCCTCCTGAGGAAATTCTCTTTCTAGTTTGCTAAAGCTGTGGGAGACCATTAGCATCATGATGTCTGCTACAAGAAATATTTTTTAATATTTAATTTTTAGTTATAGGTGGACACAATAACTTTATTTTTTTTAGTTGTAAATGGACATGATACCTTTATTTGTTTTTATTTTTATGTGGTGCTGGGGATCAAACCCAGTGCCTCACACATGCTAGGCAAGTACTCTACCACTGAGCCACAACCCCCACCCACTTTATTTTATTTTTATGTGGTGCTGAGGCTCAAATCCAGTGCCTCACAAAGGCTAGGTGAGCACTACACCTCTGAGCCACAACCTCAGCCCTACAAGAAATACTGATACCTAAAATGTAATGGTCTCATACCCTATGGGGGCTTATTTTTTTTTAAATATTTATTTATTTATTTTAGATGTAGATGGATATAACACAATGCCTTTATTTTTATGTGGTGCTGAGAATCGAACCCGGGTCCCGCTCTTGCTAGGCGAGCGCTCTACCACTGAACCACAATCCCAGCCCCTATGGGGGCTTATTGATCTGACTTAATTCAGCATGTGCTGGCCAGATTATTGGACAAATCAGCTCCACGTATTTCACACATTTGTAATGCAGGAACAATTGTATCTGGTACCACTGTGTAAAGATTTTGTGTAGCCACTGATATTAGGTAAATGGTATGGTAATGCAATGTGGATGCAAGGTTAGGGCCTCCACAGCAAAAACAGTTATGTGTGGTGCAACCACTAAATGAGAAAAATTTCAGAATTTGAGCAAGTACAAAAAACTAAAAATAAACAAAAAATATGACAGAGTCAGTTAAAATGAAACTATCAGGTGGCCCAAACAAATTCTGCAGACTTCCACAGAACTCATTTGCCTAACAGTAATATATAAATTTTAACTGATTCACTTTTATCTAAGTTTCTACTCAGAGCTTGATTAACTGAAACAACAGTTAAATGACATTACATTCTTTATAGTCACCTCTCCAATTTCAGTATCTGCATGCCAAAATACAGAGTCACATAGAAACTGTGTATGCTGAGGAATACCACTAAATTTTCTCAAAAGGATAGAATTCAACTTTTCTTTAATAGTGGATAGGAACATTTCCTTGGTTGCTTGGTTGTGTATTCTGTGAGGGCAAATCCACTGGCACCTGAGGTGGCTTAGAACATAAATCTACATTAGGAGTAAAGGAAATACAGAGCTAAAAGTTTTGCTTTAATCACAAATTCACAACTAGATATTTCACTTGAATATATTAGAAAGTTAAAAAGACATGTTAAATTTTTCTAACCAATTAGCAAAAATATGTCAAATTTTTAATGTTTAGAATTTATCACATAAATATTTATAAATATGTCCTTTATTTGCAAAATTATTCTTAAAAC